CTAGCAAACCGTTGCTCTGTGCCATAACGGCACGGCCAACAGCGCAAAAGCTTCTCAGAGAGCGCAGAGCAGCAGGCATGACAGAACCCTGTCTAAGTGCACAAGTCTATGGAGACAGCACTGTCTAGGTGCACAAGTCTATGGATGGAGAAAGCTGTCTAAGTGCACAAGTATATGGATGGAGAGAACTGTCTTAAGTGAACAAGTCTATGGATAGAGAGAGCTGTCTAAGTGCACAAGTCTATGAAAACAGCACTGTCTGGGTGCACAAGCCTATGGATGGAGAAAACCCTAGGTGCACAAGTATATATAGAGAGCCCTGTTTTGGTGCACATGTCTATGGAAGGTGAGAGTACTGTCTAGAGGTACACATGTCTATGGATGGAGTACAGTCTAAGTGAGAGAGCGCTGTGTATATGTACAAGTCTATGGAGAGCGGGTAGAGAGAGAACACCTTACGCTGTACAAAACTAGTGAAACGAGAAAAGGCAGGAGAGTTCCCTCACGTGCTCAGAACAAACATAAAGCGTTGTCTATGTAGTGGGCCCAAGTCACAACGTGCTGGAAGAACAGAGAGACAGAAAACAACCCAGAGCAAGTATATTAGTATACGTTTCTACATCACCAGGACACCGAAAGAACACAGAGCCATGTCGCGACCTCAGCGCTTTCTTGTCCTGTCTCCATTTTTATTAACAGTGAAAGCAGTTCATAACAAAGAGTGAGCTTAAAGAAGCCACATTTATCAATGTTAAAGAATTGGAGATAAGACAAGAAAGAATTGGGGTCGCGATCTGTATCATGTAAGAAAAGACATTGCGTCCGCATTATGGGGGGAAAGCAAACATCAACGGTAGATTAGTAGATAGATAATAACTTATTATGACTGAAGCAAGATTCCCTCGCTTGTAAATTTTAATGATGACATACCCCAACTCATTCCGCAACCACCGATATCAGTTTGTGAATATGTTCAAAGATCGTACATAACAAGATACATGCAGTTCACTCGGCCAAAATAGTGTCCTCCGCGGAAGTCCGCGCATTGGTTCAGATGGTGCCGCAGTTTTTATTTTGAAGCTCTCACTCGTTTTTCTAGAAGAAGAACAGAAATAGCTCAGTTTATTAGTTTGGCTTTTATAATTTTTCTCACAAATAAGGGTAACTCTGTTTGCAAAGTCCGCACTTTTTCGAAGAGGGCGCCACCGGATTTTGAGGACACTTTTTTGATTGGCTCAAAGAGAGGAGTGAACTATCTTGTTAGGTACGATCTTTGGTATGTTCAGTTCATACAATGATGTATTCAAATAAAGACGTCAAGTAGCATGCATCTCACGATATTCAGCGGGTTATTTCAGCTCGTAAAACATGTATTTACTAATTATATTAAGTCCTGTCTTGTTGCGTGTATGCGTGAGTGCACCTAAACTTTGTGACATTCCACTGCCAATTTAAATGACCAAGGCAAATTTCTTCCAGTGAGATGAATAAAGATTGTCATTGTCAATATATAGTATCATTTCTGTTGGAACTTTCCTTTCCAATTTTTAACTGAATTGAAAAACAAGATTAACGATTGCTTAAGTCATGGTTTTCTTTTTTCAGGCCTTCCTATTTTTTGAGTTTTCTCAAAACTTACTTAAAGAAAGATATCCTCTGGGCTCCAGACCCTTTCTGCAGCCTTTCTACTGCTACTCCTTGGCTCCCTCCTACTGCTGTCTTTCAGCCACACCCCTGATCTAAATGACTAATAGTAGGCACGATCTTCACCTAGCCTTCTCGGACAAGGGCAAAAAATCTCGGAGGTCCCGTGTGCAAGTAGCGCACTTTAAAGATCCCTTGATAGTCCAAAATCGACAAGAGTTGGCTTTGGTCGCCATCCGGGGAAAATTCAAAATTTCACACGGAGTCAAAATGTTTAATGTGTCCCGCGCGATCACATTATAACCTTGTGCAGTTGCCAGCGCCGTTTAAAACGTATCAAAACAAACGTACCATCGGCATTTGCGGAATGAGGCTGAGGATAGATCAAGCAGTTCATCGTGGAGTATGTGGGAAGTTTATAGAACAGGATACCGGCTTTCTCCCGAACCTCAGGGCAAGACACAGTGCAGCCAGCCTGCCTCGTGTCCATTAGGCAGACGTTTGTGGTCAGCCGTAGCGTGTCGATACAAACATCTTTAGAACATTTAATAATATACATTGTGTTAGGAACGTCTGGGTCCGCGCAAGCTACGTACACGATTTCATGAAAAGCTGTAAACCTCGAACAGTCAGTGACCTGGCCAAACTCTTGTCTGAAAATTCGAGCTCTTGGACATCAACAGTTATCTGTACACAAGGGTGAATAAATACGGCGATATGATATAATGATGAATTATCATAGTGCTCATTTATAGGACATTTATTAGTTATTATTACATTATTATACCAATAAGATTATTTGAATCAAAATTACCCAACTAGAGTCAATAGTCAATTAAAGACTATTTTGTGTCTTTAAAATTATAATTCATTGTTTTGGCAGTTTTAAAATAATATTTTTGGTTGTTTCAAAATAAACATTGTTTGGCTGTGTCAAAATAACAACACTATTTGTCAATTTTAAACTAAATAAAATAATTGTCTGTGGTCATAATTATATAGGTGCACCAAATAAGAAACTCTATTTTCTGGTTTTCATTCTCCTGGCCTCCAGTCAATTTTATACTGCTCAGCGAGACATATTCGCCAGGTTGTCTTGCTCCCTCTTTCTGTATATGAATTATATAAAGTAGAACTGACACTGATTAGAAACATCCAGGGGAAAATGTTAGCATAAAAGATAGTATAAATACTCAAGAATTGCAGAAACATTGTATCACATAAATTTGTATTTACCGCACAGAGTTCAGAGCTCACTTAATTGCAATTTTCATAGAACGATGATCGATAAAAACGAAGACAAAACAGCAATAACAACAACAACAACAACAACAACGAAAACAACAACAACAACAACCTTAATAATAATGACAACAACGATAACAGCAACGACATAGTTCAAAACAGCACAGATGAAAGTCGAAGACACCGAGAACCACACTCGGATGATTATTACAATGACACCGCTCAAGACATTCACTGGTCTAAGACAACCAATTCTCTTCTCTTCTCGCTCGTCAATGGATGACCGTCCTCAGACAACCTTTTCTCTTCTCCACAATGGATGACCATCCTAAGACAACCATTCTCTTCTCTTCTCGCTCGTCGATGGATGACCGTTCTAAGACAACCATTCTCTTCTCTTCTCGCTCGTCAATGGAGGACCGTCCTAAGACAACCGTTTCTCTCCTCTTTTCGCTCGTCAATGGATGACCGTTCTAAGACAACCTTTTCTCTTCTCCACAATGGATGACCGTTCTAAGACAATCTTTTCTCTTCTCCACAAAGGATGACCGTTCTAAGACAACCTTTTCTCTTCTCCACAAAGGATGACCCTTCTAAGACAACCTTTTCTCTTTTCCACAATGGATGACCGTTCTAAGACAACCTTTTCTCTTCTCCACAATGGATGACCGTTCTAAGACAACCTTTTCTCTTCTCCACAATGGATGACCGTTCTAAGACAACCTTTTCTCTTCTCCACAATGGATGACCGTTCTAAGACAATCAATATTCTCTTCTCGCTCGACAATTGGTGATCGTTCTAAAACAACCAAATCTCTTTTCGCTCGACAATGGGTGACCGTTATAAGACAATCAATATTCTCTTCTCGCTCGACCATGGGTGACCGTCCTAAAACAACCAATTCTCTTCTCGCTCAACAATGGTTGACCGCTCTAAGACAACCAATTCTCTTCTCGACAATGAGTGACCGTTCGGAGACAACCAATTCTCTTCTCGACAATTGGTGACCGTTCGGAGACAACCAATTCTCTTCTCGACAATGGGTGACCGTTCTAAGATAACCAATTCTCCTCTCAAGAATGGGTGTGGGGGGCGGGGGCGTTCTATGACAACTAATTCTCTTGTCGGCAGTGGGTGATAGTTCTAAGACAACCAATTCTCTTCTCGTTCGACAATAGGTCACCGTTCTAAGACAACCAATTCTCTTCTCGACAATGGATGACGGTTCTAAGACAACCTTTTCTTTTCTCCACAATGGATGACCGTTCTAAGACAACCAACTCTCTTCTCACTCGAGATTGGGTGATCGTTCTAAGACAACCAATTCTCTTCTCAACAATGGGTGACCGTCTTGTACAGTTTAAACACAAAAACCTGACCCCTCAAGCGTGGAAGTATCAGCCGTCATCGCTCTGAATCAGTCCAATGGTCAGAGCGTGTTGTCTCTCTCTCTCTCTCTCAGTAACAAAAGTTCTACCTGGGAGCTATTTTGGGTAATAGCTGACTGACTCCCAAACACAAGAACTGTCGTGTCGAGAATGGGAAACGTGTCGGTTACAAATTGAAATGGGAAACTATCAGAGCCGCGCACTTTCTTCAAAAAGTGTGCGGCTTTTATAGTGCGCGGCTTTGATAATTATTTTTTCTCGAAAGTGCGTGGCTATGATGTTCTCCCATAAAAATGTACACCCCCCCTCCTCCCCCCCTACCCCCCGCCCATCCTTCCTCCCAAATCTTCACGCATCACAGTGAATGAGCACAGCCTGCTATTTCCTGTTCCGGTTAGACGTTACTGCTCATCCCTCATAACCCCGGATGTTGTGCAGTAAGTATGTCAATCAGTTAAGATTCAAAACGAAGAGGAGGTGGAGGGGAGGAAGAGGGAGGCTTGGGGGTGGGGGTGGTTGCATCCATCCATCACTTTGTCAACCTCACGTCCATACAATCAACATATTATTATTATGAGCAGACAGATCACAGATTATAATTATGATTATGACAACTGCAAAAGTCACCTGTTCAAAAGAAATACAGAAAAAAAAATGTATGAAACAAATACTCCCCCCCCCCTCCCCCAATTATTTTTAAAGTAATTAATTAATTTTTTAAAAATGAATAAAAATAAAAAATAAAAATAAAAAAAAAATAAAATGAAATAAAATAAAGTAAAATAAAACGTAGTAAAATCCGATGCGTGAGTCTCGCTGGAACATTGCCAAGAGCCGGGCAGTCCCCGAACGGCAGCGGAGGTCCTCTGTTTTTAGGAAGCGTTGACGTAATAGAGCCAGTAGATGACGATGAAGATGATGAAGCAGAGGGGGAAGAAGATGCGTGCGGCGATGTCCACGTACATGGCGTAGACGATGCCTCGCTCCATGAACCGGCGCTTCTTGGGAGGGTTGTTGAACCCGTCCAGGGGTACCGTCACCTGAGGGGGGAAAATAAATATTTGTTGTCATTTCTTTCCTTTGTTTTCTCCGTTAGTCCTTGTTTAGCTAAAACAGCAGTTGTTGAAAATTGTCAAAGCCTGTGCCAACTTTCGCCATTTTTATGAGGCTAGCATTTTCTGAACGCCCACCTACACATTATTAAATTATTATTTCCACATGGGGGCATTAAACAGTTTATTTTGTACCTGTTACCATCCAAAGTGGAAAGTCTGGGTTCGAGCCTCGGTTCGGACACGGATTTTATTTCGCCCCCTACTGCCCACCCAGCAGTAATGGGTACCTGACTTCGAGTTGGGGAAGTAAAGGCGGCGTGGAAAGGAACTGGCCACAGTACCACAATATGTCGAAGGCCAAGGAAGTTGTCTCACTAACAAGGCAATCCCCAATGTCCAGATCGTTTACGGGAACAACTTTACTTTTTGCCATCAGTGTGATCTCCACCGCCCTCCACAATTTCCAAACTGCCCCCTGATGAACGGCACTGCACTGGTTGATAAGCATCATCATCATTGCCTTTCTCACCCTGCGTCAGGGTGTAGGCCCCGAACAAGCACTTTAACCCTATCCGTACGTCGTGTTTTATTATCGTATCCATACGACGTGGGAAACTCTGTGCCACCACTTTCCAAAGAGGAAATTTACTCGTTAATCCGATCCGTACGCTTAGCAAAGCAGCCTGTCAAAATGTTTTTTTTTAGAAATACTGAAAGTTTCAAAGAGATCTTTGCACTAGAAGTATTCTAAAATGAGAAGAATACAACCCCGGGGATATAAAATTACCCAAGGGCGCACGGATAGGGTTAAACCTTTCTCTATCCTGGGCCAGCCTCTTGATGTTATTCCAGGGTTGAAAAGCACTGTCTTGGCTAGACCTATCAAAGAGACCACATCTGATGAGCACAGGATTGAGCCCGTGGAGCTATATTCTTACATTTCGCGTATAACTCCTACTCCAGCCCCCCCCCCCCCCCCCCGTCCTCTCTCTCTCTCTCTCTCTCTCTCTCTCTCTCTCTCTCTCTCTCTTTTCTCTCTCTCTCTCTCTCTGTCTCTATCTTTCTCTCTCTCTCTCTCTCTCTCTCTGTCTCTCTCTCTATCTCTCTCTCTCTCTTCCTCCAGTTACCTCGGTCACGTCATTGCCTTCCAGAAGCTCCTTGGGTACCGTAAAGACGTGTTTAAAGGAGAACCCTCTGATGGAATTTCTTTCTCTCTCTCTCTTTCTCTCTCTCTCCCTCTCTTTTACACACACTCACACAAACACACACACACACACACACACTCCATCTCTCCAGTAGTCACCTCGGCCACGTCATTGCCTCCCAGTAGCTCCTTGGGTACCGTAAAGACGTGTTTGAGCGAGAACCCCCGGATGGAATCCTTCCTGCTCAGTACGTTGACCACAGCAAACTCCAGCAGAGCCGCGAAAACAAAGACGAGACACGTCGACATCCACACATCTATGGCCTTTGTGTAGGAGACTCGGGGCAGGGAGGCGTTCACACCTGGCGGGGGGGGGGAGGGGGGTGGACAGAGGGAGAGAAGGAGGAAGGGAAGGAGGAGGGAAGGAGATGGATATATAGAAAAGAGAGAGAGAGAGAGAGAGAGAGAGAGAGAGAGAGGGGGGGGAGGGAGAGAGAGAGGGGACAATGAAAGAGAGGGGAGAGAGGGGGAGAGAAAAGAGAGAGAGAGAGGAGGAGAGGAAGGGAGAAAGAGAGAGAGGGGAGGGGGGGAAAGGGGAAGGGTGTAGAGAGTACAAGGAGAGAGGAAAGCGAGAGGACAGGGGGATGGCAGAAGACAGGTGAGATAAATAAATAGATAGAGAGAGAGAGAGATAGATAGAGAGAGAAAGAGAAAGAGAGAGAGAGAGAGAGAGAGAGAGAGAGAGAGAGAGAGAGAGAGAGAGAGAGAAGTGAGGAAGTGAGAAAAAGAGAAAGAGAGAGGTGGGGTAGGGACAAGAGCCAAGGTCGGGAGAGGGGGGAGGGAAGCAGATACAGAAAGGCATGGATAGAATTAAAGGATGTAAACTCTTATTGAATGAGATTTATGCTTTGGTAATAAGAATGCTGAATGTTCAACACATTTGAATGAGAACACAGCTAGGTTCTGGGTGTCAAGCTGTGTTTCGTAGACAATAATCCTGTGTAGACGTCGAGTGGGCGCCCTTGGTAGGTCACGTCTTGTCATGTCTTTGACAGTTCTAGTGGTGTCAAAACGCTTATTCACCCAACTGTTAAAAAGCAGTGATTTTTATAGTGTGTAAAGTGTGTTTGCAAATTCTCTGTGTCATTCAATGCAAATCTCATGTGCAGGATGCGTTAGTGTCAAGGTACATCGTGAGAAAACAATACTAACACTTTGCCTTCATACTTCTTCCGGTTTGTGATGTCTCACAAGTCATACTTTTACTTTTATGTGATATAAGACTATGTAGACAGAGTGTGAAAACATAGATTATGATGATGAAGATTGTGATAATGTAGAGTGTGATAATGCACAGTGTGATAATACAGAGTGTGATAATGTAGAGTGAGATAATGTTGAGTGTGATAATGTAGAGTGTGATAATGAGAGTGTGATAATGTAGAGTGTGATAACTCACTAGAGCTCTGTGTGGTCATTGTGAGGACCGTGAGTAGCCCCAGGGAGATGCGGCCGGGCACGGAGTTGACCGTGAGCCAGAAGGAGATCCAGGACAACATGACGATGAGCATGCTGGGGATGTACATCTGAACGATGTAGAAGCCGATGTTCCTCTCCATGTGGAAGTCTGCCTGGAGGCAGCTGTGGTTACCTGTGGGCGGGAGGGGCGAACCGGGGAGGAGGGGAAAGAGTGGTTGGGG